GTGAATCAGGCGTCTGCCGACCCCGTGCTGAGTCTTGAGGCTCCTGGCGGATAGGGCAGATGATGATCTGGGGAAGCACCGTCGATGCTAGCCGGCAGTCATGGATCCGGGATAAACAATTTCTCGGACACGACAGGTGTTTGAGCCGGAAATACAACTACTATATACCTGGCAATGGTTTCTACCCAGTGCGCGACGAGTGTAGCTGCCAGATGACAGGCAATCCTTCTTTTCATCCATCTTTTTCTCAACCCCAGCTCTGACTGATGGTATTGCACAGATTGCTTGAAAACTGCATCTTTTACATGAATGCTGCGAGATTGTATGGTAACATGACGTTCCTACACGCTTCTAGCAGCACTGAGGCATCTTGCATGCCGTGAAGACCTCTACGATGCCTTCCAACAAGCTGCATCTCACGTGAAGCCGGCTGCTGCCTGCCACGAGAGTGAAGGTTCAGGAATAAGAGGTACGAGATTTGGCGGAGACGAGCACGAGTTTTTATGCCGCATGGATGGCAAAGAGACGAGTTTAGCATCTGAGACTGAACGACGGTCGATCCCTAATGCATAGGTGCAAGGAAGGTTCCGAAGCAGCCGAATGGGAGGGCGGGCGAACCACAAACAATGTTTGCATTGGCGTGGCGTTCGTCAAGCTGGCCAGATGGGGGTCCAGTAAAAAGCATCAGACAAGCGCGAGATCAATGCATATAATGCAATGCCAAACGTTATGTTGAGGAGAGTTGAGACAAAGGCCGCATCCCTACTCCGGATCGTCCAGAGTTGTTCGTCCATGGATATGACGAAGGGAAGCTTGAAGTTTGACGTCGGAGGTGTGTGCCGGGCGGTGCTTTACGAAGGAGAGTAAAAGGCAGACGGGAAAGGACCGGGGGTCCGGGTGGATGAGGAGGGTTTGCGGCCTTGCAAAAGTGTCGTTGGCGAGCTGCTACGGGGGTCAGCCTGGGACGGACAGCCGAGTACGGAGCTTCGGCCTTGGAACGGAGTGCGAAACTGAGAGAGAAGAGATTCAGACCGTCGATTCCATTTGCGCTGTGGTTTTGGATCAGGTGGATTGCTCGTGACGCGACGGCGAGCAGCCGCGATTGCGCGCCTTCAGTCAAGGCGAGGCTTCACAAACAGAAGCGGAAGCGGAAGCTACCCACGTGAGAGTGAGCCCATCATACCAGACGGAGCCGGCCCATCAGCCGGACACGGCATTATCCTAAACCTCCGAAGATTCACCTTAGCGAAGCAGACCAAACGAATGCAGCGTCAGCTTCCGAGAACGTATCCGGGCTCTTCGGGAGGTTTTTTCTGAAGTGTCTTCGGAGGATGATGCGGGACGCAGTGGCTCACCTGAGCACATGTTGGCGAGCAAGGTTGGGCGAGGAAAAGGTTCAGCAAAAGTATGTGGCAGGAAAAAGAACACCACGTGGAATTGCAGAGGAGGAAGGTCAGCGGGTAGACCGAGGGCTACTTATCTCCAGGGAGCGGGCTGAAGAGCCAAACGCTACGCAATTACTTGGTATCCGAACTGACCGGAGACCAAGTCACTTCTTGAAGCTGAGCCCTCCCGAGCGAGGGATAATGAGGCAGGGTTCATTATACAGGGGCCATGATCCAGGGCATGGACCTAGCCATGCGAACTCTTTCTCCTCGCTTGAGGCTCTTTGTGTAATCTGTACGGGACGTCGTTGTCAGAGGTTAAGGGGGTTGGCGGTAGCAGTTTACGTGCTGGTCCTTGACTATAATCTGCCGGACTACCGAAATGGCGAGACGTCAAAAAGACTCAAGGAGTACAGGTATGGATAGATTGCCCATGGTTTAGGCCGATCTGTCTAGACCGTCTAAGATGGGCGCCGATGCCAATCCACCGCACGACAGGGCTGATGCCGATCCCCGAATGTGGGCTGCCAATGGCGACAAAGATGGAGCTGCGGTTGTCTGGAGTTGATGGGAGTGTGGTCTGAGACTCTGCGATACTTGAATGAGTAGAGATAGTTTACGAGTGCTTTGCCGCGGTATGCTCAAGTGAATTGATATCTGGCGAGGGGATATTGGCGGTCCGATACGCGGAATAATTAGGATCTGAGATGAGCTCAGGTAACGAACTACCTACGTGAGGGCTTGCGAAGAATTAGACTAGGTAAAAAAGTAGACAATGCAGAAGACAACGGTGGTGAAGTGTAAAGTACGCCTAAGGACGACAACTAGAGGGGGAAATGAAGGGCAGCGCATAGATGAGACAACCGGGCGTGCGATGGACGATATAGCATTGAGCTCTATCGGTTTGAGTTGCGCTCAAACGGGGCTCGCCGTCTCAGTGTGGTCGGAGGTTTTTCGTTCGGCTGAAAGGTGGAAGGGGAGCAGCGCGTAAAGTCTTGGGACAGAGTGGTTGTCTGCCCCCTGTTTCCCGCTTACCGAAACCGTTGAGCCTCTTGCTAGACGAGTCTGGCTCGGCTAGGCGGGAGAGAGGGTAAGGGAGAGGGAGAGAACAGAACAGAACGGAACAGAGGAGAGGGGAGAGAGAGGAGGCTGTCCGGAGTTTTGGCGAGGCACGGGACGGTCGGGATGCAGGGATCCCGAGGACCAGATTTGCGGTTGATATGGGAGTTTTGCGGGGGAAGAATGGAAGAAGTCGAGAAAGGGGCCCGGCTGTCTGTGTGGTTACAGATTCCCCGTGGGACATTCACGCATTTTGCATCACATTAGCTTCCTTTTCTTCATCCTTAATTCCCCGTCCCGACTACCTACCACGAAACCACTCGTCTTGATTCTCGCCATCCCGTCCGTCGCCCGCATCCCGAAAGAAAAGGGGGTCTATTCCAGGCCCTTTTTCTACATGGCAGATGTTGGATCAGGATAGGAAACGGAGGGAGCATAGCATTTACGGATGATCCGAAGCGGGTTGGGACTGGCCGGGGGGGGCTCGCTTGAACGGAGGCAGCTTGTGAGGCGTCACAGGGCAGTCTCGAAGGGCCTGCCAAGACCGGGTCCTACGGTCGCATCAGATGCGTTGGCGATCTGTGCAAGGGCTCTGAGGCTCCTCATCCTCCCATCGTCCCCTTGCGAGCTGTCCCCCGCGAGCGAGCCGGGATTCGGAGGAGGGAGAGCAGGCAGGCTTAGGCGGTTGTCTTTTCGGGGGGGAAATGGGTTCTTCCCGAATACCTGGTGTCGCACAATGAATGCGGCTCACTTTCTGCCGTGTTCCTGCTGCGGTTTGTTTTGCTTGAGGCTCTGGGCCAGCCCTTTTTGCGGCTTTTGCGGCTTTTGCCCCTCTTTCCCTGCCGTTATGGACCTTGCCGGTTGGCGGTTAACCTCCGTGTCGCATGATTGAGCCTCTCGTTATCTTGTTGTGTACGGAGGCTCTGTGATTCTCTCTCGTCCCCGACGTCTCGCATTGGGAGCCGAGGGCAGGTCGAGGCCCTTACCCCCTCGTCTGATGCTGCGGCTGTGCCGTTATCTTTCTTGTGATTGTGATTTGTCGTTGTTGCTTCATTGTCATGAACGTGTTGGTGTTGTTGATGGGCTTACGCAATGGATCTAGTGTCTCGTATGCGGCCATGACAGCGTTCACGGTCAGTCGGTGGTTCGTGCCATCGTGCAGGAGTTCCTCTCATCATTTTCCGTTGGTTATTCTCCGATGACAGAAGGCATTAGTTCGATCGAAGGCCTGGGACGAAATGAGGGCCTGACTCGGGGTTTGAGTCGTGCTGTATGAGAACTCGAGAAGCGACTCGACTACCGGGGCTCATTCTCATCGCGATGAAGAAATGAGATTTGGTGTAACAATTCGATACTGGTAATCGATGGAAACGGTGAATGGGCCGCCCTGCAAACGCTCAGGCTTGGCTGTCTCTCTTCACCTTACCGTGATGAGAGAGCCAAGGAGCGTGGGCCAGTCAGAACGCGCCAAATGTTGCCGTTTTGTTCGGGAATTTGCTGCCGGGGACTCTGTCAAAACACACGGGAGATGGTCGCCCTCTCTGAACGGGCGTCGCGCGGGTCTGTGATTGTAAACAAGGGCACTTTCGGAAGCGGGATGATTCAATAACATCCGTATATCGCGATTCGAGCCCTCGTGAGCAAATTGTTTTTAATTTTCCAATGAGGCGCAATGAATGGAAAACAGGTTAGAGGTCCCCACCTGCCTAAGAAGGTATTTCGAGCACTCAAATTCTCGGATGTGATGGCTTCCATTCAATTGGCAATGTGGAAAACCTAAGAATGGAGAGAAGAGAGTTGAGCATTGAACTCTGAGAGAACATTGAGAAAGCAACAAGTTCGAGGTTCGAAGCAGGCGGGTACCTCGGAATATTTGCGATTGACGTGGCCCCGTCGAGTAAGGTATCACCCCACCCGGTTTTAGGCGTGCGGGTACATTTGGACGGAGCTCCTCGACTCGCTTCACTAACGTTCCTGACTCTCTAGTGTGGTCTCGCGCGGTCTCGAAAGGTCAGAGACAACCTTGAAAGTCAGAAAACCGGGCATCTTGGGCAAATCTTCTGACCCAGTCACAGCCCGCGAAATATGACATGACCCTCGGCAGAGTGGGACTTTAGCTTCGTCTGCCGTGGCATCAGATCAGGTTCATCTCAGCTTATTGCAGCTGGGTGGTGATGTGCACTGGCAACTGGGAAGGAAAGATGCTGGATAATGCACGTATTCACCGTTTTGGTCAGCTCTTGGTCAGTCAGATGTGACCTTAATAAACCGCAACTAACTACCAACTTAACGTCCCAAATGGCGCGATATACGCTATGCGATACGGATATTCTCGTTGGGACAGAGTTCCTCGCTGTCTCAAGTTTTTTGCTGTGCCTCAATTGCGGCTCTGTTCCCTGCGGTCCAGAGGGGGGAATGACATGTACAGTTGTACATGACCCCCCAGCCAATTGTTACACACGGAGAAATTATTGTAGACTGCGATGGATTATCAGTAACTGGATAATCCCGTCGAGTAACCCGACACGAGACCACATCATCCACAGCCCGCACCTTATTATCCTGTCCCAGTTCTGCTACAGCTGACCAACCCCCCGGGTGCCCGGGCTGCCCTGTGTCGCCGCAAGTGAGACTGACCTCCGCTGTCCATCTCTCCACATTCGTCTTGGCGCTCGCGATTCCTCCACTAAGGTAGGCAAGGGTACTTGGCTGGCCCTACCAGAGACCACCAAAATCCCATGTATCCCTATACCTTGAATACTCGTAGTCTCGTACCGCTGATGCCCCGTCCGGCTCACTTGCCGTGTGTCTCTTTTGGTGACCCGCCACTACCGTTCCTTCCCCATCCCTTCCGGTGACTTTTGTCTCTCTTCCCTCCTCCTCCTCCTCTTCCTACAACCACCACCCACGACCCCGTCACCACTACCCGCCGAGCCGCCCTTCTTTTTCCCATCCGCATCTCAACATTCAACCAAATCACCAACGGACGATTGCGACAATAATAACGACGACGACAACATCGATACTTTTCCCGCCGCACCACCCCGCAGACAGGCGCGATTTCTACTAAATTCAACACACGCACATTCGCTCGGCCGTTACACGATCAAATCTTGGGGATGGAAATAACCATCTGATATTCACGATTCCGAGGAGATGTGACACGCCAATCCCCCTCCTCTTCAACAATCGGCCTGCCAGCAAGCGAGCCCGACCAAACTTCCCGTCACCAAATCTGCGAACGCATTGTGCTGCGTGCTGCCATCTCCACCTCGTGCGACTTGAACCGTTATACCAACCAGTCTACGCCTTTTGCACCACTCTTCCGACAAATTTCCTCGAGCGCCTCCTCATTCTTCAGGTCACACCCTTTATCGTTCGAAATTGATAACCCTTCCCGTTGCTCTTCCCCTCTCCCTCCGTTCCGCCCAAAAGCGACGTCGACCGTCGTGCGAACGTGAGAAGAGGCGTAATCCAATCGACAGGCGAGATGGCGTTGTTACTGCTACGGGTCCTGGCTTGCGCCGCCGTCGGCGTCATGGCGCAGGCCGCAACCATCACCCCCGAGAACGATATTCCATCGTGGAGCGAGAGGTCGGCCATGCAGATGTCCCTGTCGACGGCTGGTGGCACCGTCCCACTGTCGTTCATCGTCATGCCTTCGACTGAGAACCTGGGCTTGAATCAGTCCGACGTTGTTCGCGGGGTACGAAGCAATCCGTCGCCCGGTCGGGCAGCGCAGAACTGTCGCTAGCCGTCCAAGGATATGGAACACTTTACTAACAAACTAATAGGCCGTTCGTATTGAGGGTACCATGGTAGCCGCCGACTCTTCGAACTACAACCAAATTAAATCAAATACTCAGGTCGCGTACCTTTCTTGCGACACCCAAGACGGCAGCGGCTTCATCAACCCTAACATGATGCTGGGCACTCTGATGGAGAACAAGCCAAAGGCTATTGTCTTGTATAGCACGGTCGGCAACTGGTGTATGCTTTCCGGCTCGGACCTGACGTATTACTCCATCTTCACTATGGCGGACGCTGGAGATTCTCAACAAGCCCTACGTATTCTCAACGGCACAAATGAGGCGGACCAGCTCAAGGTCATCATCACAGGAAACGCGACAGGTGCTGTGAGTGATGGTGGAAATGGCGGCGGCGGCAACAACTCTGCCGTCGCCATGAGCATCTTGTACAGCATTACGGGTCTGATTACACTGCTTTTCTTGATTATCATCGCCACCGGCGCCGTCAGGGCTCACCGCTACCCTGAAAGATACGGTCCCAGAAACGGGTTCAACGGCCGTCCCCGCCAGAGCCGTGCCAAGGGCCTCGCTCGCGCTGTGCTGGACACCCTGCCCATTGTCAAATTTGGCGAGCGGCAGGAGGCGAAGCCGGATCCTAATATCGAATTGGAGAGCGCGTCAAACGTACCAACCAACGACACGGCCGTTGGGAGGCAGGGTGCTGCTGCACCAGTGAGTACCAAGGATGTCGGGGCCACTGCCACAGCGACAGAAACAACCGCTGCTACAACTGGCGATGCGGCCGCCACTGCGACTGGTGCTCTTGCTGCAGGCGGAGCTGCTGCAGCTGCCGCCGGCGCCGCCAAGGGTGCTGGCTCCGATACTCCAGCTGCTGGAGCACAGGAGGATGAGCATCTTGGTTGCTCAATCTGCACCGAAGATTTCACCGTCGGTGAAGATGTCCGCGTGCTACCTTGCAACCACAAGTTCCACCCCAATTGTGTAGACCCCTGGCTGGTCAACGTGTCAGGCACATGCCCGTTATGGTGAGTTTAGCGTGCTGCCTTTTCGCAGAGCCCTTGTTGCGTCGTCTCATACACGTCCTAGGCTTTCACTGGATATTCTGCTAACATTTATTTTCAGCCGTCTTGACCTCCGCCCACAAGGCGAAGCAGAGAATCCCAGTGATGAACTTCCGCCCCCGCTTGAGCTGGACGGTCATGAGAGCGATGGCTCTTCCACCTCGCAAAGACGGAGGACACGATTGTTTGACCTCAACAGGTTGAGGCATGCTTCGGCAGAAGAGCGTATTCAAGCCCTTCGACAATACCGTACCCAGCACCAAGTACAAGGTGAAGCTGGGAGCAGCACGGTCGATGTTGGAGGTGAGGAGAGGAACGATAGGAGCCGCAGGGCAAGATTAGCCGACAAGCTGCGCGACAAGTTCCGGATTCGAACAGGACCTCAGGCCTAACTCAACGTACAAGTCATTCAGCACATTGGCGTAGACTACGAAAGGCGGGTGTACCCAAGCAAGCCTTGGAGGACATATTAACGACACGAGAGAACAACGACTACAACAGCACAACACACACATTGACGATGACGAAGGGTGTCACAGGCATCAAGATGGACGAGATCCCCTTTTCAAGTTTCGACGGATAGACATTGGCGTTCTGGGCACAAAACAACATCAAGGACAGCATTGCATGGCGTTGAGCGGGTTATGGAAGCACGGCGGAATTGTGACGCCGGCTTGCTCCATTTGCTTTCAGCCGTTGAGCGTTGAGCGATGGCGACTATACATTTGGCTAGCCCGTGTTGTTCAACGGAGTCAGCCCTGGCATGGTAGATACGGGAAAACGCCATCAACATGATGGCTCGGGATGGAGATGACAAGGAGGGAAAGGGTCTGAAATGAGAGCCGTCGTCAATCCCAACGCCTGCACAATTCAGCCATGGGTTGGGCCTAGGAACCACACGGGCTGTTTTTCATCTTAGAAGCAGAACCAGAGCATGTTATTCAGAGGAAGGGAGCGAACAGTGCATAGCATAGACAGGATTTGAATGACGATCTGAATTAAATGAATGACTCGACTAGCCTGTTGGTGATCCATCACCCATGTCTCTTGCGAGCTGACAACTGTGAGAGAGAAAGAATAGCCACTCACATTCTTACTTCGAGCCTAGGCTAGCCATCTGGAATCATTGGACGCCAAAGACGATGGGGACGATACGGGCGGAGCTCTTGTGGCTTGAAGGGGAGAGAAAAGCTGAAGAACGGGTTTAGCGTGCAGCCAACCTTGGACGGCAAAGATCTACTTTGATGCGTGGCGTTTTGGTGCCTACGCCAGCTCCAGCGGAAGGAGGGCAGGAGGGGGGCCCGAGGAGAAGAGGAACGAGGTGGATAGTTCCGCGCGGAAGTTCAGCGGCGGCGGCGAGGAGGACGGCGAACACGGCGAGGAGGAACCCGTTTAGGACGGATAAAGAGAATGTCAAGGAGGGAGACGAAATATGTGACGGAAATACCTAGGTACTTTCACCTTCTTGGAGACGAGGCAACGAACGGGAAGGTCCCGAGGTTCTTTTCCTTTCGTGGCTTTAGGGACTTTGCCTTCAGGAACTCGCCATTGAGGAGAATTTTGTGTTTCGGCCGGAGTACGGGCGGCGCGGAGGAGTGGGCGGGAGGAACTAGTTTATTGTAGTCAGGGGCGGGTTTGTTGGTGATCCTTTTTTCTTGGTGTGGTTGGTGTTTTTCCTTACTGAGTAATTCTTGCGTTTCGAAGTTTTTGCTAGCTTGGAGGACGCTGGGGATCTCTGAGAGATGTTTGGCCGGGGGCAAGTGTTTCTTTGGATTGAACGTTGTGGTTCTTTACAACCCTTCTAACTCCGTGAAAGATGGAAGATCTGCCCCTTTCGCAGCCAGGTCAGAGACCGAGATCTTCGTTTGGCTTGTTTAGAAGCCACCGCCGACGTTTCACAAGACTCCATTGTCTGACTATCCAGTTTATAAAGTTCTGCAATCATTTCTAGAAGCTGATTCGTAGCTACAGAAAACCTGACTTGATTGTGTGTCTTTTGCGCTGCGGCTCTTTGTACCGCTAGGTTATCATGTTGTTATGAGCGATCTACAAGCCAGAAAGGGTTTATTCAAGGGCCTTGGCACAGGCGACGAATAACACGATGAAGGTAAGACATCTTGGACTTTTTATCTGACTCACGTCTTCACCTGGTCTTGGAGGATTTGTACATAATTACTGTGTATTGTAGTCGATGTACATGAATCCGTAGAGAAGCTCACTCTTTGCGAGTATATCTGTACGTAATTACCCTTCACTAGCGCATAGTAGAACATACGTATCACTTTGACTTATTCCTGTTGTGGGAGCTTCTGTACATCTGTCCTGAAGGAGTACTCCGTCCACTCTGAACAATGCTTCTGTACTTGTCGTGCTTGTGTATGAAGAGGCTCCCATCATTGTGCGATACCTAGGCAGGCCCATGGTGATTTGCCAAGACACGAAGATGGCACACACGGCAGGCACCATGGCACTGGAGAGGACCGAGGTTTCAAATGTCTGGGCTTCTGGTTGAGTTCGTCGTGTCTCACAGAGATCGTCGACGACTAGATCCGTCCATCCAAATCCGGTGGACGAAGATCATCCTTATGCAAGCTCTCAGGGTGCCAAGAGTCCCGAGAACCAGACTGCTGGGGACCCTGTAGGTGCTCATCTGAGAGCTTCTCGCGGATTCACTCTGGAATGTCTTGTCTCAGAGCGGGCGGGCCCCATCGTGCACTAGATGGGATCCCGTGGAAAAAAAAAAAAAAAAAAAAAAGAGATGAACGGTAGGTAACACAAAGTCGAGGTGATCGAAAACCTTGTTTTCTGCGGACCGGTGGGATGCGGTAGGGAAGGTAGAACAGATGCCCCCATCTACCCGTAAGTACTGCCTTTCCGTGCCGTGAGTGGGCACCACAGTCCGGCGAGGTATGGTTCGTCGTGGTTTGATTCAAGGTACTCCTCTAGTCTCCTGTAGGACCATGAAAGGGGAAAAGGTTGAGGTCTCGGACCTCACGCTACCCTCAAGAGGCGCTGGCCGAAATGAGGATCGCGTATCTTGGATCACGGTCTTGCCGGGCCGGCGAGCTTGGCATTCGACGAGAGATCTGGCGGGCCGCGGACGAGATTAGATGGCGGATTGATTTCGTCACGGGAGTGAGGGAGTGAAGGAGTGAAAGGCTTTTCGAACATTCTATACGTAAGTGGGAACGTTTGCGCAAAAGTTTATCGTCCGGCTCTCGAGGGGAGCATCGTGCATAGCTATTGAGAGATCTGATCAAGTGAAAGCCATGAGCGGTATAGCCTGACTGCTACAAAGAGATGAAAAATGCTGTTTTGGGTAGGTATGTAAATGGCATCTTGTGGTCACCCCCGCGCTGCCGACGTGGCTGATATCGTGTGGCTGATGGTGATGTCGTCAGTCAAGATTCAAGCAGGAGCTGGGAGGGACCCCTGCTTTCTTGGTTCTGTAGTTCTTTCCCCGGGACACGTCGCACAGACCCCCCGCTTGCTGCGAGACGAACAGGGGCTCTTATCCGCGTGGCTCCAGTATTTCTTGGGTCCGGGGGACCTCGGGCGGGGACTAGCGGAGGATGAGTTCTTCCTTCCAGCAATACGTATCTCCAGGTCTTTGTGGTAGACGACGGCACCTGAGGATAATCACAATACCAAATGTTTGCTCATCTTTGCTTCTTCCGGTTTCCCGACAGCTGCTTGTCTCTTCCTGATACCTCGGACTTGGACCTTGGCGTCTTTTCGTGTCGGCTTCCTCGCAGACTCGCACACATCTCGCACAACCATGCGCTCGCGTGCTTTTCTTGGTGTTTCCTTCCTGTTTGGCAACTGCAACCGCACTTCATTCGCTCTGGTTTGAGGCCGTCGGATCGCACACGGGATCTGCATCCGCTACTACCTTGGACCCTCGTCTGCCGCCTTCCGCGCAAGGAATGGAACGCTCATTGTCTACGGAGTATTGCATTGCTACCGCCCAATTTCTTTGGAATACGACCTTCAGCTTGGACTTTCGTTTCCACGGCAGTGAGGCACGCCGCCTCACGATGGACGCAGAGAGTATCTTCAGCTCCTTCTTGGGGCGGGCTAGTGCCAGATTGCCTTGATGCTTGACGCCTGACATAGGTACAGCTTCTGCGCAGCAAGGGCCCCTGGAGACCTGTCGCCTGCTATGCTGATGGCGACGAAGAGCGTGTGCCGGTGTCGGTGTTGTTGCCGGTCCTGCTTACACGCTTTCCAGTGAGTGCACGGTGCCTCACGATACCCGGCGCCGGCAGCCACATCTCAGCCACTAGTCCGAGTCTAGACCGAGCTAGACCTTAGCTGACCGGGACCTCGATTGGTTACGCCGCATTGCACTGCGGTGTCCTGAGTCAGCTTAGGTAGCTCTGAAGTTCTGAAGAGGAGGAGGCAATGGAGGATCCCGTTGGATATTTGCACAAGAAAGGTCGCCAAGGCGTTTACACACCAAGAAAAAAAACTCTGGACGGAGGTCCTACACACATTACCTTGCGGATTATGCCTGCTTCTTCAAGACCAAGATTGCGACATTGCGACATTGCGACATCCGTGGCAACCTAAATGCAGGAGCGCCCGAAGCAACCCGTCCATGCTCGTTCACTAAGCTACAAACTCAGCTCTCTCCTCGCAACGATTGTGATTGGTCGGGCTGTCATCATCTGGATGCCATGAAGACGCTCGACCGATAGATCGGTGGAGAGAACCCTTCGTGCCTGCCGCGTTCAAGGTCAGCCGCACCATCGAGAACAACACCTTCAGACTCTTGGGACGTTTTACACGGCCGCCATCTCTCGACATAGCGTGCCCGCATGATCTCGAAATCTCTTGAGCCGCCCAGGCAAAGGGTGATTCGACCATAGGCTATAGCAGCCATTTCGAGATAATACAAGCGGCCCTTTGCTGGATGAAGGAGGTCCGGCATACCACGCTTCCAACTCAAACGGTCAACCGAACCCTAGATCGCGAAATGATGCACGTTGCCCGCTGCCCGCCCGGGCTCTCTGACACAGACTCAAACTGAGAAACCAAGCATTTACGTACTTCTCAGCACTAGCTCCAAGGGATCACCAGCAATGGCTTCGCTAGAATCCGGGGGGCACTGCGAACTATGAGGAGAAGAGGGGGGCACGCCATGAGAAACGAAGGAAGCGGTCTCGGCCGTCATTCCAACTGACAGTGCGGTCGGCCGACTGCCTGCCAGATTCTCGTCTCTATTCCTTCCAACCACGTTGATTCGGGATCTTTTGCCCTCTTGACGGATCTGACTTGCCAAACCTTCTTTGACTTTTGCCATCTTCTGGTCGCTTTCTGGACGTGGGCGATCACCCGGCCGTAAGCCAAGCCAGGCTACATCATTGTGGCCAAGCGGCTAGATTAACCTTGTGAGCTTGTGAGAAAGGCAACGACCGGATGAGGCGCGAGATAATCGGTAACAGGTCTCACGTATGTGTTGCGCTTACGCCGGGAAAATCACCAGCATTTCGGCGAAGAAAAGCCAGTTCCCTAGAACGGCTACCTATGCTGGTTCCATCCCCCAGCTTTGTGGTGTAATCAGCGATTTGGTCTTAGTATCCTCAGATCCACACCTCCTGCGCCTCCAACTTCTTTGTCGAACCTGCGGCTCAGAATTTCCATCCCTGTCTATTCCGTCGTTCCGCTGCACCAAAACACTCCCGGTACGGGAAATGCCATCGACATATCCGTCTTTTCCACCACAGCCTCCCCAAAAGGGCCCAGAGCCAGGGGTCACGGCTCGCCGGAACCGATAGATCACAGACCGGACTGCATGTGCACAGTCGCTCGCAAGCTATCAGGACGTGCTCAGCGGTAGCGCTGTACGCTGTTCGTCAGAGGCGCTCGGGAAAGGGCCCATGCTACAGCCATCACTTGCGGAGCTTTACGTATCGCGGCGTCTTTGTGCTAGATGGTGGACCGTAGGTAGGTGGGGAGGGTGACCTGCGAGCTAATCTTCAAATCTAGTTGAGCCCGCAAGA